GAGTAGAATAGGAAAGATGTAATATTTTCATTCCTTAAATACCTCAATTACTTGTAGAAGATGTACATATCTTTGTATATAATATGTTGACAATCAATAGAGGAGATACACATATTTCATTATTCAACAAGAACCACAAGCAAAGACTCTTATTTTGTTCCGAAGAGGATACATATCTTTTGGAACCACGAATTACCCACGTTTGACCATCAAACAAGGAAGACGAAGAATTTGAGTTTCGCAATCGACTTTCAGTGGCACTATGATGCGTTTGAGCCAAAGCTCCTTTCTTGATATTGAACCAGAAAGATCTTCTCAAAAGGAGACATCAGTAAAACCCTTTGTCATCGTCTCAATGCTCCTAAACACATGACAAGTACTCCTTCAGAACATTGCTTCCCCACCACCGGAAGCTTCCCAACCCATAATCAACAAAACCATAGACGAATGAGAAATAGTCAGATACTAAATGGATCCTCGAAGCCAACATCTAAAAAACAGAGACCTTAAAAAACTTTGAATCAAGCAAACGTGGTCCATGGGACATAGAACCCAAACCACTAATCGCAACACCACTGCTTCTAGATCTACCACGCAAAAAATATATCTATTTTTCCAAGGACCCAAAGCTTCTACGCAAAGCAACAACAGCCTAAATCTTCTTTGTATCTCAGAATTAGGCTAGATCTAGTTAACCAACAAATGCCGAAAAACTAAAAACCTAACCCATCGGCAACACATATGATTTTCCCAAGGCATAGTAGTTTTGTACCTTTTATGTTTTATCTTTTGAGACAATGTATTAAAGAGATTATTGGGCAATGAAATATGAATTTTTCTAACTCTCGATCATGGATTTCTAAGTCCAATGAACCGGGCATTACAAGTTGGTATCAACACTCGGTAGTCACTCCAGTTCTGAACCGAAGGGCTAGGAAAAAGATATATGGGACTGGACTACAAAGGGAAGCCTCGCATATGCTGTTGTGAGCCTCAGTGCGTTCTATGGGCCTGACAAGTATCATGCACGTCTCTCATCCTTAATGCATACTTAGTTATGGATAGGTATAAGGAAAATGGAAATAGTCCATTTCCTCTTGGTAACAATCGTTTCCAT